CTACGCGGGTTGGCCCAGTTTAAACAGACTTCAACAGACAACTCTGCTGCGAATTCTGCCAACACGGTCACCGTTATCACAGAAAAGTCTTTAAATGAATCTTCTTGCATCTCGGCGCCGGTCTGTCAAAATCCCTACCAAACTGCCAGTTCGGCTATACCCATGGTACCGACGGACACTGTAAATTCTCCTACAACCAACACCATACCCGCTAATTCAGTCGATATAAATACTCTTGCGGCTGCCGTAGCAGCTGTAACCGGAGTTTTCCCCAAAAACCCAACGATAACGCCTGGTCCAGTTCCTGGGTCTATTTTGTTATCATGCACAAAGCCGACGACAAGTGAATCAGGTCCCGCTGTTAGCTCCTCCCAACCTAATGTTGCAATCGATGTGTCGCCTCAAAGTATTGTCCAGCGTGTTGTTGCTGCTGGAGGTGGAATTCAAAAATCGCTTGTCCGTAGCAACATTGTCCAACCAACTCTTGCCGGTTCTAATGCAGTATCGGCTGTTCCGTCGCTTTCTAATGGCCAAGTGTTTAGCGAAATATCTCCACGTCCGCCTGCCGACGCAACTGAACAATCTAAGACCGGCCGAAGTTCGAAAGAGTTTACAGAAACGCAGGAATCGGCGATTGATCGTATTCTGGAGACAATTCGTGTACAGATGCGTGCCTCAGATGCAGTTAAAAGCAAACTACTCATGTCAAATGGTCTGAAGAAGGTCGCTGAGTCAAAAACCATCGATATTTTACAGGTCGCGAAACTCTCAAACGAGAACAAAGAGAGCACAAATTATGCCACTAATTGTAGTACTGTGGTTTCAAAGTGTCAGTTTCCAATCAAAAAGAACAGTGGGAAGTTGGCTCCAGTTGCTCCAAATCCAGCCACCAAACCTACTCACGCATCTCAGATCTCCATGGCCCTAAATCGTTCGACTGTTGGATCTACAGACGCTGTGCACAGCAAGGTTTACAAGTGTCGGTACTGCGGAAAGAGTTTCAATCGTAAATTTTGTCGCGAGCGTCACGAACGTCTTCATACAGGTGTAAAACCCTACACTTGTGAGGTCTGTGATGAAAAGTTTATTCGACTTGAAGACAAGAAACGTCATGTACGTTCTATTCTCCATACAACACGTACCGCCGCGCTTGCATGCGCAAATGGCAAAATCAAAACCGCCGCACCTTCGGCTGATCCACCTTCATCTGAACTCGACCTCCAGGGGCAGATGGAGGGTGCCGCTAATGAAATAGCCTACCTGGCGGATGCGAATGACGCTGTGGACGAAAATGACACTAACAGTCAACACTTGGACGACGGAAGTAGTGGCGATTACAAGGAGGACTCTCCTTTTGAGGCTCAGTTGTGTATAGCAGACGACGAGGTGGACAACTGCAGTGCAAACGATCAGTCCGATGTTGACAGTTCAGTGGTCGAAATACAGCCCTTGTCTTCGGCGAGCAATGCTAACGTGAGCCCAACGCACTCAACTCCCTCCTTCAGACACTCAAGACGATCTGCGCTTAAGCAGTGTATTGTACCAGTCCGAGTACCTTCCACTGCTGTTGATCTGCCTACCGCCATATCCACCCTCTCCGTCGACCTACCTTTACCCCCTACAGCAGATACGTAGGTGCATTTACTAACTATTAATTAGCTCTTACCGCATCCATCCATTCCGTTTGACATCACTCCCTTGTTTATAACCTCTGTACATCTTTCCTCCTGCTATCTGACCTTGTATAGTATACCTGTCAGTATCTCAAGTATGAATTCGCTTGACTTCATGTGCATCTTCAAAGGCACTTGTTTTCAAAGCCAATTCCTATACTATTCCGTGCAATATAAAGCGGGTAAGCATCGCTTGCTCGCTAAATCATTCCGTTTTTGTGAGCAAGTACATTTATTTCAAAGTTTTGTTCTTATTTACGCCTTTTATTAGCATACTTAGACATTCTAATCGGATGCGCGTCTGATGCAGGCCGGGGGTCGACAGTCCAGTGGTAAACATGAGATTATTTATTCTCTGTCTTCTCGGTTTACGCGTTTTTTTTCTTTCTACAAACTCTCTATATGGCTGGTATGCCTCACCAAACCCCATTAGACAAATTCAACTGCCTGGCTAAATCAATATTGCATCTCGTTCTTCGTTGGGCCTACCATTCCATAACGATAACTTCTAATCGCCACGGTCTTTATCTCACTCGTTTCATTCGCCCACTTAAAAAAAACTTATCTCGGACTAGTTGAATTATATAATGTCGGTTTGGCGTGTCATCTAATCCTTCGACAATGGTCTTCCTACAAGTTGTTTCTTAAATATTTTCGGTGGAGTGTACATGCTTGACAACACCCTAACAGTAAGCCAACGCCTGGCCTCTTCTTCCCTCTTCTCTTGACGTGATTCGTTGCTGACAAAGGATAGCAACTACTGATGGGAATGAACTCTCCAGAGCATTACCATCTGAAAACCTCGTTCGGTTTTGCAGTTTTAATATTCCTTGGGAAGCTAAATGAACATCCGGTCCATAGACGCTTCCGAGATACAAGATGCAGCCTCATTCTCTCGCACAAATCAAACCAACCCATACCGCTCGCCACCGTTCTTTGTGTCGGTGCAAGTCTCGGGAATTCTATTCACGTAAATTCCTAAAAGGTGGAACGAGAGAAATCATCCCTTGACACCTGTCATAACTACAGTTTCCAGCCTCGTTGGATGACGGTCCAGGTTGACTTAGCCATTATGATAAGTGTTTAGGTCTCCGCCTCAGTAGGATTCGAGCCGCTTCTTTGTATGAAATACTGGTCTATCCTGCGTGGCACGCGTAGACGGGCTGTTTGGCCTTGTCATCCACGTTGCCCGATTTCGCCTCCGGTCTTTTTGATTCTGTCTGGGTCTAGGAAGTTGGGTGAGAAGGGAGGGTGTGGTAGAAGCAGCGTAAGTCTACACGTAACTCACCGTTCCTATACCCAACATGCTGCAGGAGACATGGTTGACACCGTCGTTCGCGACAGTTGAACTGTTACTTGAGTCGTCAGGACCTATTGCTTTGTAATACCAACAAGCTAACCTGGCGGATGATAGTTAAATAAAACGGAGAAACAAATAGACTGGCAACATAATCAAATATCTAGGCGACCTTCTTCCTACCAATGTCTCAGTCTTTGGTGAGCTGAACAGTGTTGCGTGCAACACGAACGGGGCGTGAACATTCAGGTACTACCAAGTCGTTTCTTTTATTACTATCTACGCTCTCCCTTAAGCCGTAGTATGATGCAGTCGGGTAAGACTCCAACGTCCGAAAGAAGTACGTGAGGCTTGTGAAACAGAGGCTTTGTTCTACATTCGATACGCCTTATTTTGTCTCCAGTCGCCTCTACCGAGGCTAAGAAATAGAACAGAATGGCAGCGGAAGAGGGAGAATGATATTGACCTGGTGTATGTGTGCGTGCTCCCTAAACTGGCCGCGTGGTAGG